ATGACTTAAGTATAAAAATAGAAATACAGAAATAAATAAATAAATGTGTAGATAAATAAATGTCTTAAATTTATTTCCACATTTATTTATTTCTGTATTTCTGTGACTGTATGCTCGGTCAGAGGACTGTGATGATCCAGTTCTACTACTTCAGCCTGTCAATGCTGGCTGTTGTGCAGTAGTTGCAGTGTTGTGTCAGTTATAACACTTAAAAGGAACGAGTTCATAGTTAATTTTTTATTGGTATGATTTAGTAACAAACTTATGATCATGTGTTATTAATCCATGGTGTCAGATCAAGGCTGCGTGTCGCTCCGGTCATTTTATCTTGACTGTGAACGTCTTGTCTCATGTTGTACTAAGCACATGTTGACGAGTCATTTTTCATGATGTTTAAATGCAATCTCATATACTCTGGAATCAAAAAAGCACTGAGTTACTTCATGTACTGATCAGGTCCTGAGAACTACACTGTAAGATATTTCAAGTCGGTTAAACTTGGAAATGCAAGTTCACCTGCTACCTTGAAAATTACCTTTGTTCCAACTCAGAAATTAAAGTTCATAACTTTGATTTAACTACAACATTCTAGTTGTCTCAACATTGTTTTTAAAGTTGACATCATGTAAACACCTTTTTAACCGAAAGTATTTATCTTCAATTAACTTCTTTTTAAATTTATATTTCTTCTCGAATGAACTGTTAACTTATAACTGTTTTTAAATCAACAGTATTGATTATGGTCTTTGTCTTACTCAATGTTCATCCAAAACAATACTGAAATCACATTTTCCATATAAACTCTTATTCTGAAATGTAACAGGAAAAGCTGTGTTAAATATAGCTTTTATGCTCTTATTCTGACAAACCCACAGGAAACTGCCTACTGCTTTCCTGATTAACCATTGGTCTGAGCCACAATGTACGCAGGCTTTATTATGTAAGCATTTGTGTMATTTGCCTTCGCTTATTCTCACACAAATAAACCTTTTTAAACCTTTTCACCTCATAACTTAGCAAGAGCTAGCTTCGAACTATAATCCCTGTTTGTGGTGTCATTTTCTTTTACACAGTTTCATAGTTCATTTTCAATATCATTAGCGTCATCCACCATTTTGGGTACTGTTCATTGCTATGGGCTCACTCGTGTCCATTCTAAGTCACATTTAAAATCACTACATTTCACGGTCACAGTCTAAGGCTTTTACAGGTTATATTATTTTCATATTTCATTCTGGTTAGGATTTCTGAGCATCTTACCTGTAGGAACGGTAACAAAAACA